CTAAGCCTAAAGCAGAGCAGTCACCGCAAATCCTCCTTAAGCCCTCGTCGACTCGAAGCCTCATACCTTGTAACCGTAAACCCAAAACTCAAAAGCTTAAGCTAAACCCTAAACCCCAAAACCCACAAACCACCCCACAGGGGGAAGAGGGACCCCACACCCCACACCACAGGGGAGGGGGGGGGGCCCACCCTATATCCGGACCATTCACCTTTGGGTGGGGGGGGGCGCGGAGCGCGTGACCATTGCTCCGTATTTCTGCGCTTGTTGGGGCCCTATCAGCCGGTGTCCCGGAGTTTTGTAAGGGTGCTCATGAGGATCCTACCCCTAAACCCCACGCCTCAAGAACTGCTCGTTACCCGAAGCCTACATTCCCTGGGGCAGGGGACTTGTGTAGTACGTAGGTTAGAAGTAGAGTTATAAGAGCCCTACATGGAGTTGCCCCAATTATAACCCTACTTATAAGCAACTTACGAAGTTCCCTGCCCTTTTACTACGGTTGATGATATAAACCCTGCATTACCCTAAGGAGCCTAAGCTGTGGGTATTATGCTATGTTCCTTGATACGGGTGATGCAGGGTTTGTATCATCAACCATAGGTTTCAACGGTTGAGGGTGTCCGGCATTTCTACAAATTAGGGATCCAAAAGACATACGTAGAAGCATCTTGCAAGGATATCCCTACCTTATGGGGCTTCAATATCAAGGAATTTATATGGGAATTTCCAGAAATATGGGACCCTAATATAATACCCTCAATGATAGGATCCTTGTCTTCGGGACCCAAAACCCATGTGTGACTTTGCCAATGTGCTGGTTTGGGGTCCTAAATGAAGAGCTTCGGCTTCTTGGCTTTGGTTTCGGGGTTCAAGGTTTCTTAGAGCTGTGTGGCTTTTCGTTGCGAGCGTAGGGCATTTCTTAGGGTCGTTGTGCTTTGGGTTGGGCGTTCAGGGTTTCAGGTTGAGGGTTTAGGGCATTTCTTGGGATCTTTGGGTGATTGAATGGGGGCCTTTTTTGGTGTTTGGTGTCTTAGGGATATTTGAACGCAACTTCGGACTCGAATTCAAAGCCTCGAACGCTCCAACGTAACCCCTAAAAGATCTTCGCTTACACCGTAGACCCTACGTCCAGAAGCCTAAACCCCAAACCCTAAGCCCTTATTTGGGGCTCAAAATTTCCAGGTTTGATTTCGGGCTTAGGGCATTGGGGTGAAGGGTTTAGGGTTTAGGGTTCGGGAGTGCCTCAAGTTTGCGCATCTCAGGAACTTTTTCCTGATTCTGATCCCGATCACTTTCGCAATGGGCCCTTCGACAGCTGCATGTGTTGGAGGTTTGGGGTTTCAGGCTTATGGCTCAACGTTTTGGGATTCAAGTTGGGCGTCAGCTTGAGACGGACTCTCACAACTCCGGGAGTCATTACGTGCAATGTTCTTAAATAGCAAGGAGAAGTTAGGAAAACGCCGTCCTCGCGCCCACTCAGGCCAGCTGTTTGCTTGGCCAATCTACTTGTTCGGCGACCGCAAGGCATTTCGCAGCTTTTGTTTGCAGCCATGTTTTGAGCAGCTGCTACATCCTCTGGTCTCTCCCCACTTTAATCCCCACTTTAACGACAACAAGAAGAGCCACCACCATCACCGCCACCAGCAACAACAACACCACAACAGCCACCCCTTACACCACCACCAGCAACAACGACACCACAACAGCCACCCCTTACACCACCACAACAGCCACCACCTGTAACCACATCAGCAACACCAGGAGAAGCAGCAGCAGCCACAAGCACAAGCACAAGCACAAGCACAAGCACAAGCACAAGCACAAGCACAAGCACAAGCACAAGCACAAGCACAAGCACAAGCACAAGCACAAGCACAAGCACAAGCACAAGCACAAGCACAAGCACAAACAAAAGCACAAGCAGAAGCAGAAGTAGAAGCAGAAGCAGAAGCAGAAGCAGAAGCAGAAGCAGAAGCAGCAGCAGAAGCAGAAGCACAAGCAGAAGCACAAGCAGAAGCACAAGCAGAAGCAGAAGCACGAGCAGAAGCCCAAGCAGAAGCACAAGCACAAGCAACCGCAACGGCAACGGCAACCGCAACAACGGCAGCAACGACAAAACAGTAGAATGTGTGAGGGGCAACTGCACCATGCAGCCACCCCCAGCCGCCGCCCGCCGCCGCCCGCCGCCTTCACCACCACCACCGCCACCGCCAGCGCCAGGGCCACCGCCACCGCCACCCATCGCCACCGCTACAACCACCGCTACCAGCAACCAGCCACTGCGCCACTGCGCCACGGTGCGGCACCGCCACTGCCGTCGCCACCACCGCTGCCGCCGCCGCCGCCACCACCTCAACCGCAGCGACAGCAACGGCAGCAGCAATATCAGCAACCACAACACCAGCAGCAACCGCAACTACAACACCAACAGCTGCAACTACTACAGCAACTGCAACAAATGCTATAACTACTGTCGCTGCTGCTTTTGCTGCTGCTGCTGCTGCTGCGGCGGCTACTTCGAAGCATTAGGACATCCAAGTCATATTTGGAGCAATTAGTAAGGTTGCTGCCCTGAGCTGGGAATTCATACTCGCAGCAGCTTTGGTCCTGTCTTACCAGGCAGAAAAGGAGAAGCACTTGCAATGAGAACACTGTCGTTAGCAAGGAAGGTAATCTTCGTGGTGGCATTGGCATACTTTTTTTGCGCAATGCTTCTGCACTTGGAGGATCAGGGGACTTAGTAAGTTAGGTGATAAGTGCCCTAATTGGGGTTATAAGTAAGTGTATGTATAGTTACCTTACTCATAGCCCTAGTTACTAAGTCCCATGATCCTTCGAGCAGGCGTACGACGCCAAAATCGACATCCTGGCTGCCTACAACTTAGGCCTCGGGCCCTTCGCTCTGCTTGTCCGGTTCCCTCAAACGATTTTTTCCGCTCAGGGTTTAGGGTTTAGGGTTTATAGGGCTCTGGGTTTAGGGTTTAGAGGTTTGGGGGTTAAGGGTTAAGGGTGTTCTGTTTGAGATTTCCCCAAAGGTGGAAGAGCCGGAACATTCTTAGCAAGTAAGGTTATAAGTACCCTAATTGGGGTTATAAGTAACTGTATGCATAGTTACCTTATTTATAACCCTATAGTTCCCATTGTAGCGACCTCCCAAACTGGGAACGCTGTGAACCCTAGGACCCTCGACCCTAAGCCCGGAACGCCTAGACCCCTAAAGCCTACACCCCAGAGCATATGAAGCCTAAATGTCAAGATAGAGGATCTAGGGCCCTAGCGGCAAGTTTCGGGTTTCCAACTACCCGGGCCGCCGGGCCTTTTGGTTAGCCAGGACTCAAACTTAAGGGGCCTTCAATAAGTAGAATAGGGCGCCGGGTGTATGAAAGTCCAAGGAGCATAAGGAGCCCGCCGATGGTGCTTAATGTCCACGACTACTGTAAGGCATTTGGTTTAGGGTTTAGGGTTAGGGGGGGTTCGAGTTCACAGGATGTTCAGGGTTTGGGCCCTTCAGAGTTCGGGGTTTGCGGTTTCGAGTCGTTTATGCAGGTTGGCTCTACCTTAGCCTCCTCGTCGTGTACTACACGAAGCAGTTCGTGTCGCAGCAGGCCTCTCGCTTCAGATGAGACGGGGGTACATCCATAGCTCTGCAGCATGAACTGACCGTACCAAACCCTGAGCTTTAAGCCTGCAAAAGTAGGCAAGCCTTAAACCTTAAGCGCTCAACCCTCAACCCTTACCCTTAACCTGTACATAAACTTACAACCCTAGACGGCCAAGGCATCTATGGAACGAAATGCAGCAAGCGTGATGCTGCCCAACCAAGCTGTCCACAAAGTCATGGTCAAGGAGGCAAGTTCAAGGGTTTCAGGGCTGATGTAGGTTCTAGGGGTTTTAGGGTTTGCGGTTCGATGGTTTTGGATCTAAAGGAGGACTGTGTTGTACCGCTACTTCTACCTTGTTGATTCTCATCCTTGGGCCCACGGGCCAACAGGGTTTAGGGTTTAAGATCAGGGTTGGTGCAGCATCATCCTCGGGGGCTTAGGGTTCAGAGTCTATTCTGCGTGTTCTTGAGGGTGACCAGCATGTAAATTCCGCTGCTGGATCTAGGTTCCCGGTAGTAACATTTTGCCCTAAACCCGAAACCCTTAACCGTTTGTTTCTTTTTTGTGCTGCCTTATAGACTACGAAGCTGGAACAAGATTGGCGATCCCCACGGCACCGCGATTAACAGAAGAGCTCATCAAAACCTCAAGACAGCCGCCATGCCAACATGCCTGAACCGTACAGTCTAGACCCTACTTGGATGGGCAGGGGGCTTCGTAAGTAGGTTAGAAGTGGAGTTATAAGTACCTTAAATGGAGTTACCCAAGTATAACCCTACTTATAAACGACTTACTAAGTCCCCTGCCCCTCCAAGTTGACCCTAAACCCTAAACTCCATAGATCACTTCATGGAGCCCTATAGATCCCTTTACTTCAAGGAGCCCTTTTAGAACCCTTACTAAGTCCCCTGCCCCTCCAAGCAGACCCCAGCCACAAATATGAACCTGTCAGCCGCTAAACCCCTCAATCCAAGGGTAGGAGGAGGGACCCTTATGTGAATTTGGTTTGTGACTTTCCAACAACAAGTGCAATCAGCATCTCCTCTCGCATGTATAGAAGCAACGTTTGACAACCGCGAACATGGCTCAAGTCGTACGAGCAAAACAAGTGATGGTTTCCGTGCGAGTGCTGCCACTGTGTTTTCGAACACAGTGGTAGCGGAGCCTAGTTCGGTCCTAGAGGACCCAGTTGTGGGAACTGGTCTTTGATCGAAAAGTTTCGCTGCACTCAACATGGAAGAACCAGCCTCACCTGTTCCAGATAATGGTTCGCTCGACAACGACGAGGTACCAGCCGAAGAGAGCGACCCGTGGAGACGCCGCTGAGGCACGCCGGGAATCAATGCCCGGACCGGATTCAGCAGAGTTTGCTCGCTTCAGAGAGTTCATGGTTACCAGGCAAGGATCGTTCTGATGACGAGAGCGAGAGAGACGGAGGAGGAGACCGCAGCAACGCGGGACCGGCTCCGTCTTGGGACGGTAGTTCTGCCTTCCGGGACTACCAGATCAGAGCTCGCTTGTGGCTTGCTACGACCCGTGTGAAGCCGAAAGCCCGAGGACCCATGTTACTCAAGAACTTAGCAGGCACCCCGTTCGACGACATGAAATACTTGGCTAAGGATCTGAGTTGGATGAATGACCCCGACAAGGGCGAAAAGTTGATCGCCCTCATGGACTCGAAGGAGCTGTACGATGACGAGAGGGAGGACATGATGAACACCCTGGTGAAGGTGACGTACACCCTTCGCCGGACCAAAGGGGAGACCAATAAGGTGTTCTTTGCCAGGTGGGACAATGTGGTCAGGCGGCTGGAGGAGCACAAGGTGAAGCTCCCTGAGGAGTACTTGGGCTTCCTCCTTACGAATGCCTTGAATCTTTCGAATGACGAACTGAAGTTGCTGCTGAACTTCACCCAAGGTCGCTTGAAAACCAAGGACGTCAAAGAATGGCTGCGGGTTCACGACACAGAGTTCGAGAACAAGACCGGCAAGGCCGCAGCTACCAAGACCAGCCAGGTCCTTCATGTAGGCGAGCCGGGTGTCTTCACCTACGACCAGGACGAGGAGGACCAGGCGGAGGACGAGCCGGAAGGCTCCAGGAGCTCGACGGTGACCCAACAGCGGCTACCGAGCTGCCGGAGGAGGGCGTGTTCGACGAGGCCGAGGCAACCGAGATCTTGGCGACGATGGTCAAGGAGCACACCAAGGGAGGCGGCAAGCGATCGTTTCCTGCGGTCAACAAGGCCAAGAAGGCCAAAGCCCTGGCCCGTGGATACGGCGCCGGACGTGACCCAAACCAGCGATTCCGCGAGCAGGGCAACGTGAAGGTCGGTGGTACCTACCGAGTGAGCATCGAGGCTTTGAAGCGAAGGACCCGGTGCGGGATCTGCAAGGAGATCGGACATTGGCACCGCGAGTGTCCTCGCAATGCCGGCGGCCAGAATCCCAAGGAGAGCCATTTTCTTGAGTCTGAGGAGGCATTGTTCCTGGATTACATTGAGTACCTTGACTGAAAGGACGCTTCCTCCTCGGCATCTTCGCTTTCGGGCAAAGGAATAGGAGCTCCTCCTGGACTGCCGGACCCGAGCCTGCGTGCAGCATATACAGTGCCCGTGCATGAGTTGCATTATGTAGACCAGTCAGAGCCTATTTTTGAAGACCACTGCGCAACAGTAGATACTGGCTGTCAACGTACTGCTATCGGGGCCGAGACCTTGCACAGATTCTTGGCTAACCGCAATCATGATGTTGGAATGTGCTACAAGGCGGAGGCTCATTGCATCAAGTCGGTCAATGGTCTGACAAGTACACACCGAGTTGCTTGCCTACCCACCAGTCTTGGGAAGAAGGGATGCATTCTCAGGCCGGCAATATTCGAAGATGGTCAGAGTAGACAGGCCCCATTTCTTCTCTCACTGCCATTCTTGTTGTATTGCCGAGCGACACTGCATCTTGACCCTCAACATGGCCTCAGCATGCATTTAGGACAGTTCAATCACCGAGTACCCCTTCATATTGGACCGACGGGAGCCCTCAGAGTGCCATTGGATAGGTTTCGCCAAGAGATGCTTCGTGAACTGCAACGTGCAATGATCAAACTTCAGACCAGCGAACCGTCAGAGATCCATCATTTCCTTCCGGAAGCCGGGCCCAGCAGTAGTAAACTTGCAACCCCTGCGGTTCCTGACGATTTCCATCATGTTCTCTTCGGCGTCTCCCAACAAGCGCAGCCGATCCGAGAAGGAGGACAAGCTGAATCGACGCGAGCAAGGCTGGCGTCGGATGGTGCTGCGCATGCTGATGGTTCTCGCCAATGCCCTACGGCAGCTGATCATCGGCCAAATGGGCACCAAGAACCCACCAGGATCATCACTCGACAGGCCCAGGGCATGATCAAGCAGCTGGGCCGCGAAGACCTGAGGCAGCTCAAGGAATCCATCCAGGAGATCTTGGAAGAAGAGGAGAGTTCGAGCGAAGAGTCGGCAGCTCCGACGGAAGCGGCCTCGACTGCCGGGTCCTTCGTGGTGATTCCTCCGGCGGGACCACCTTGCCCAGACGGCCGCCATTGCTGCCATCACGGCCAGGAGAGCGTGATCTTGATGTGCCGCAAGGAGGGGCCCAACTACCAGCGCCAGTTTCGACGCTGCCCTCTCTGGAAGCGGCCGGATCTGCGGTGCGACTACTTCCAATGGCTGGACCACCAGCCCTACTGGAAGGATCCCGACGCGAGCAAGAAGAAACTGACGGACGAGATGAAGGAGCTGACGGAGGAGCAAAGGAAGTGCAAGCACCCGATTGTGGTCGGGACCGGCCTGCAAGTACTGTCGCTTGCCCCTGGAAGTCACGGGAGCATCCGCACTGGCGACTGGTCCAAGATCTTCGGCTTGCTCAGGTCCAGATGGATGCCGACCAGAGCGGCGGACCGCCTTCACCATCCCTGTCCATTCAGACGATGGACCTGGTCTCCATGATGGGGGACAACACTCCAAGATCAGCCCCTCCGACGCCGCCGAAACCTTCAAAGAGCCCGGCCAAGACGGTGAGGAAGGACACCAACGCCAGCAAGAAGCCGCCGTCAGGCAAGCAACCACCCAAGGACGAGGACACAGATGCGACCTACCAACAGTTCCTGGAGTGGCAGCAGTTCCGGGAGTTCAGCCGAAAGAGCCAGTCGAGCAGCTCCAAGTCACAGCTGGGCCGGGAGTTCTGATCTCTTCTTGTGCAGGGCTTCCCCGACGCAAGCTCGAGAGCGAGCTGAAGCGGTTCGATCAAGTTTGGTCCAAGCTGGTAGAGTGCTTAGGGCCGGATGCTGAGCGTGCGCTTCTTGAGTTGAAACAGCGGACCGTGCAAGACTTACAGAAGCCCAGCAGAAAGAGTTTGGCATTCTACAAGCAGTTATTTGGTATGACAGAGAAGCAGCTACGCATGATTGCTGAGTATTCTAATTCAGAGTCAATGTTTCGCCGAGCACGGAGGTCAGCCACAGAGGCAAGACAGGTATTTGATCTTGAATTAGGAGATGACCTGCTTCATGAACCTGCTCGACAGTCGGTGCTTGCATACTTGAAGCATGAGCGACCCGGATTGGTGATCATTTATTCATGCCGCGCTCGTCCAGATCAGCTGTTCAATCTTAGTCGGAGCTTCTTAGATACCGACCATGCCGTCATCAAGAGACACTTAGATCACAAGAAGAAGGGACGCAGAATTCTTGAATTCGCAGTTCAGGTTGCACAGACATGTTCCAGTCTTGGTTTGAACTTCGTGATCGACTGCCCCTGGCCATCCCGTTCATGGCAAGCGCGCTGTCTTCAGGCCGTGGGGGCGGCCACCGGCGCAGATCTTGTCCGTTACGATTCTGGTCGGTCTCATGTACCCGATTCTGCCCTCCGACCTCATGGCGCGATCACCAATCACCCGTCCATTGCCGTGGCGGTGGCCAACAGTGGAAAGCCTTCGGGGCCGGAAGACCGAGGCGAACTGGTTCGTCTGGTTATCAAGCCGTATGCCAAGGCTGTGTTTCGGGACACCAAGGCCCTCCAGATCTACCGATCCACGGAGCTGATCGACGCGGACCGGCGGTTTGACCAGGCTTACTTTACGAACGTCGAGCTCTCCGAGATTCACTCCCTGAGCAAATCGGAGACCAACCCGGAACTGAACCCGGAGATCTACCACGGAGAGGACGAGGCGAACGAGGTTCCGAGGGCGAGCTTTCCGGACTCCTATGACGGTGCCGAAGAACACCTTGACGAAGAAGGATGGCATGAGCTCCCGAGTCATGATTGGTTACACGTTGCAAAGGTGACCGGCAACATTACCCGACCGGACGCCAATCATCCCGCCGCACTCCTTCCATGGAGAAGTACTTGGATACGATCCGCCGAGGAAAAGTGGCGACTCTACGAGGACGAGATCCGATGGCAAGATCTACGGGATCAACAACAGCGATTTGGAGAACAAATTCTTGTGGCCACTGTCTACCAGGCCCGGATCGATCCTGCCGCCGAGAAGCAGATGAAACAATTTCCTGGGCTACGCCAGGTCACTTTGGAGAAACTGGTACGACGAGCTCACGACGGCCTGGGACGCCCTGACAACAATCGTCTTGTTAGAATCCTTCGACAAAGCAGGGCCCCCGAGGAAGCTATCCAGATTGCCAAGGATTTGAAGTGTTCCGTGTGCGCCTCTTATCGTCTTCCAGATGCTCCCCGGCGCGGTGCCCCTCCCCGGGAAGGCTTCTCCATCAACGACCTTGTCGGGATTGACACTGTGCACCTGCGGGACCACAAGAATCAGGCGATCCCAGCCATCAACGTTGTTGACTGGAATATATACTGAATACTCATTTCCAGCTGGTGAATTCCCTTGGCTTCGGAGACTGCCGAGGAAGTCAGGAAGGTTTACCGCCAATGGGTTCGGTTCTTCGGACCACCCCGAAGGTTGATCTCGGCACGGAGTACAAATCAGCCTTCCGACGCCAAGCCGAACGAGATGGAACTGAGGTCATTCCATCTTCTTTGGAAGCTCCCTACCAGCGGGGCTTAACGGAGCGGGCCGGCGGGGTATTCAAGAATATCTTGTACAAGGCGATGCAGGACTATGACTGCCAGTCCGAGGACGAGTGGCGAGAGCTGGTGGACATCGCCTGCATGATGCGAAATCGGCTGTTGATTCGAGGCGGCTACTCCCCGATTCAAAGAGTGATCGGATACAGCCCCCGACTTCCTGGAGGACTACTTAGTGGAGGAGCAGATGATCATATGGTGGCCGGCTTGCTCAAGATTGGAGACGAGCAGGCGGAGAAGTCGATGAAGATGAGGAAGGCAGCAGCGGTTGCCTTCCATGCGGCCGATTGTGATCAAGCTCTTCGGGCGGCCATCAATGCCGGACCTCGGCCACACCGCAACTACGAAGTGGGCCTACTAAGAAAACCCGCCAGTCCTACTGGCAAGGGCCAGCAAGGGTCATGATGACCGACCTCCCTGGCTGCCTGTGGCTGTCTTTCCAAAATACCGTGATCAAGGCGGCGCCCGAGCGAGTCCGACCGGCATCAGAGGAAGAGCATCTGTCCATTTCGGGCTGGATGAGCGGAATGGCTCAGGTGCGGAAGGACTTTGACACAGTTCCAAAACGGGGTTTCGTGGACCTCACCAAAGAGACCGACCCTCCGGAATTCTCCGGAGACGAAGCGGAGGAACCTGCTCCCCCTGCTCCTGATCTTCTACCCCAGCCAGCTCCGAGAGTCCGTCAAAAGACCGGACACTACATCGCCCAGGAAGGCGATACCGCTCCTCCTGGTGAACCTGTACGGCGAGAACCGGTGCAGGTCGGTCCTGCCGAACCGGAGCTCCTTATGGATTTGGATACCGAGGATCCCGAACGAACCGGCGAACTTACTGATCGTTCCGCTCCCCCGGGAGCGGGTGTGTCAGACGACCTGACCGTGCCGGAGAATGACAACAAGCGTGAATTGGATTCTGGACCGGAGCCGTCTGGGAAGCGAAGTCGGATTGAGCTACTGGAGGCCTACAGCATGCAACTCCAAGCCCTTCAACGGCAGCGGCAACGAAAAGAATCTACCGCCAAGGACTTCTCAGGAGCGGACGCGGACCGACTACAACGGGCCATCCAGAAGGAGATTCGCAACAACTTGGAGACCGGCGCCTACAAGCTTTTATCGGTCAGTGACTCAGAACGAGTTCTCCAGACCAAGCGGGAGAAAGTGATGAACTCCAGGTACGTCTTGACCAAGAAGCCCCGTGAGCCCTCCGATGTTGCTGCCGCTCGGGCTGAGGACACTCTTCTCGAAGAGGACGGCGCTGGGCCGCACAAGGCCAAATGTCGTCACGTGATGCAAGGATTTTCCGAGGAAGCGGCCGCGGAAGTGGAGAGTAGGACTCCTCAAGTGAGCCGGGACTCCGTGATCTTCGTGGCCCAGGTTTTGGCATCAATGAGGTGGACCCCGGGCTTCCTCGACTTTACCCAGGCCTTCCATTCGGGCGATGCTATCGAGAGAGAGCTTTATTGTTTTCAACCTCGTGAAGGAATTCCTGGAGCCTATCCTCGACAGCTACTTCGGCTTTTGAAGACTTGCTACGGCTTGACTGACGGACCCTTGGCGTGCTACAAGCACCTATCCCGGAGATTGGTCGAGGACTTTGGATACGTGAGGAGTTTGGCGGATCCATGTGTGTTTCTGCTTCACAGCCAAGAATCGGGTGCTGGTTCCTTGGAGGGCATTGTTGGTGTGGCGACCGATGATTTGCTACATGGTGGAACAGAACGCCACTGGAAGGTCATTGAGAAGATTGCCTCTGAGTATAAGTTGGGGAAGAGCCAAACCGGAACGGGCCGGTTCACGGGCAAGGACATCAAGGTCCAAGCAGACGGTTCCATTACCATTGATCAAGCCTTTTATGTTTCTGATAAGGCACACCCCATCAAACTTGCCCGAAACCGTAAACAACAGCTGTTCTCGAAATGCACGCCTTCGGAGATTGAAAAATTGAGAAGTCAGCTGGGTGCATTGGCTTGGTTGGCAAAAGAAACCCGCTGTGATCTTGCCGGGCGAGTGGCCTTACTTCAGCAGGCCTTCCCTCAACCTCGAGTCGCTGACATCATCGAGGGGAACAAGATAGTGGAGGAGGCCCACAAATTTGCCAGCACCGGAATCAAGGTTATGCCGATTCCCTAGGAAAGATTGCGGGTATCGGTAGTCACCGACGCGGCTTGGGGGGGTGCCAAAGATTGCATCTGGATTGAGGACAACGAGTCCGACTGGTGGGAAGAAACGGATACTCAGTGGATTCGACACCACTCGGCACCTCGCCGAACATCCTTTCACCCTGGAGCATTTCCCAATGGTCCCGAGCTCCACCAGATCGCGGGAACTCGACATACCGTGACGTTTCCGGCTCCCGACACAGATGGTCCATCACGAGAAGTTGTCAACGATGATTGGTTTGATTCAAAGGGGATTCGCGTGCTCAAGGATCAGCCCTGGACCGGCTATTCTACTTTTGAGAAGATTACCGAAACGAGCCAAGCGGTCCCCCAGACCAAGATCCACAGCAGCCTTGTTCAGCTGCAAAATCTTGCGTGTCAAGCTGGTCAGATCATTTTATATCATGATATGGATCTTGCCCTGAGCAGTACTCCTGCTCAAACCACGGTGGCCTCGTGGAAAAGCTTCGAGCTGAAAAGAAAGGTTGTGGACACCCTCGCGGCAGAGGGGCAGGCTTTACAGTCGGGCATTGGCTCAGTGCACTGGCACAGACTGTTGTGTTTAGAAGCGTTGCATGGAATGATGGATGCCAATGACTGGAGACGGGAGTCGTGTACGGCTATTGACTCCAAGAGCCTGTATGATGCAGCGAGCAAACTTTCCGCAACGACAGCCTACATCAGCGACAAGCGGACGGCCATGGACCTTGCAGTAATTAAGAGCGATGTACAGCAAACTGCCGGAACGATCCGGTGGATTGACACGAGAGCTATGATTGCTGATCCTTCAACGAAGCAACACCCCGGCCATTACCTTCGACATGTCTTAAGGACTGGATATTGGTCGATCGTTGAAGAAGGAACGGCTCTTCAGCGAAAGGCGCTGGAGAGGCAAGAGTGCTTCCAGTTGTTCCTTGTTGTTGGAAACAGAGTTTCTGACCGAAGCAACGTTTGATAACCGCGAACATGGCTCAAGTCGTACGA